CTAGGTGTCAAAGTTCCCTCTTCCAGGCTCTGAATGGCCACATCAGCTGCACAACAGGTAAATGATGCCTCACCCTTCAGACGCGGGCCCAGGCCCAGAACGGGTGGCATCTCAGACCCTGTGAGAAATGCAGAGCCCCAGGCACCACGCAACCCACTGGGTCAGAACCTGCACCCCGGGAGACTGGGACTCGGCTCTGCCCTCCGGCCTGCTGGACCTGGCGTGGGGAGGGGGGTGTCAGCCCCAGAAAAGTTTAAAATACTTTCTCCAAATTATATCCTAAGTCCACAGAGATAAAACACACAGATCAATGGAACATAACGGAGAGCCCAGAAAACCCATGGGGGGGGGGTGATCAGTGCAGTAGGGAGGAGCCAGGAGCAAACACGGGGGATGAGCTTTCATTCAGGGGCACCGTGCACCCTCAGGGTCACACTCAGGAACGACCTGACCCCCATGTTCCTCCAGGACCCCAATGACCCGGCAGAGCTCCCCACAGCCCGCCCGCCCGCCCCAGGTCCCCTGACTCACCGCTCGGCCGTCAGCCGCGGGCAGGGAGACGTCCTCGCCCTCCCCTGACCTGCTCAGCTTCTCCCCGCACTTCCCCGCCTCCTGTGCTCTGCCCCCGGGGCTTCTCCTTCCTCGGCCGGCGGGCCGCTCCGCTGGGGTGGGCGCGGCTGGAGGCCGCGGCTCCGCCATTCCATTCCCGCCGCCGCTCCCGCGTCAGCGCGCAGGAACGGGACGTCACGCGCAGGGGGCGGGGCGAGGCCGAGGACAGAGAGGCTCGCGGGGTCCCAGGGGCGGGGCAGCGGCGCGCGCGGCCTCGTGGCGCGGAGGGGCGGGCGGCCGAGGCGGGACACTGGCGGGCGGAGGCGCCAGGGCTGGCGGGAGGCGCAGGGGGGACCGCGTCGCTGCCGAGGGGCGGGTCAGCCAGGCGAGGAGGGGACGCAGCCCGGAGAGCCGTGGGGGGCCGCTCAGAGGGGGAGCAGGGAGCGGGAGTGTGTTAAGTCAGAGCCCTGACAATGGGGAGATAGAATGACGTGGAGGCAAGAATCCGCTGAAATAGGGATTCTCGCTCATTCGGAGAAGAGAACAAGTCGGTATCGCCCTTCTGTGGGGACTCTGGATTTAGATATAAGCATTTGGGATATTAACATATATGTGTGTGTCTGTATTAAAAGAAATAGTTGAATTTTAAAAAAAGATTGATTTATTTATACCAGCACTGGGTGCAGTCAGAAGCGGGGGAGGGTGAGAGTATTCACCAGAGCCAGGGCGGGGAGTAGAACAGGCAGACCGATGTAATACACTGCTGAGGGGTGCAGCGGGCACAGCAGGAGAGGTCTGCGCGCCATGTGGGACCCTCGCCCGGTGGCTGGGGATCCAACCCGCACTGCAGAGGCTGCTGGCAGCCTCACAGCCCAGCGCTCAACCGCTGCGCCACCAGGGCGGCCCACCATAGAATTTTTTTGAAGAAAGCCTTAAAAATTCTGTTGCAGTTATAGAAAAATTTCTAAGGATGAAAATATTGTCTTCCTGACAGTAAAGCAGGTGTGGGAAGAGAAGCGGCAACAAGGTCAAGTTCACCTTGTTGTTGTTTTTTGTTTTTACTGAGGGAGGAATCATAAGGGCAATCTATATAAATCTTTATTAACCCACCTGTGGAAGGTTCCAGCAATCTAAGGTGGGGTCAGAAAAGATGACCAGCCAGAGGTGGGAGCAGAGAGGATTATCAAACTTAGAAGACCCACCCATTCTGACCCCAAGGCAATAATTTCCACACTCATTCCATCACAAAACATAATGAAAGAACACCCCTTACCCTGGCAAAATGCAGCTTTTGTTCTTTCAGAGCCTATCTGAGTCTATGCAGACTTCTCTCTTTCCTGATTTCTTTTCCTCAATCACCTTGCCATGTGCTGATGAAAGGGAACATTACTGAATGATTTGTCAGAGGATCCAAGAATCCCCCCACACTGAACCCCATCACCTGAATTCCATCAATAGGTTTTCAATTTTTAGCTTGAACTAACTTGTCAGTTCAAATGAGCACATTTTACCCTTTTTCAATTTTTACAATATTTATTGTTTTAATCAACAAGGTTCATCTAGTTATAGGTAAAAATAAAAAAAACAGTGAAAATAATAAGGCACTAATTCAAAGCCCAGACCCTTCCAGCTTCAAATACAAAAGGTCTGGGGTCTACTTCCTGGTGCAAGGGGTTAAGCATGTAATCAACATAAAAAGCTTACAAGCAATATAAATGATACCGGAATTGTCAGGCCTAGTCTCCCAGCCAGGAACGGATCCCAGGCTGCAGGGCAGCACTGAGCCCCAGCCACTAGACCCCCACGGGTTGGTGTCTCACGAAGCCGCAGCAGGAACTTCGCAGACGCTCAGGCAAGCAAGCGAGAAGAGGCAGATTTGTTTAGAGAAAGAAAAAGTTTATTGAGGAGAAAAAGAACAGAAATAAAGTGGGACTCCCAGGCCAGGGAACCAGGCCTGGGAGGGGCAAGGAAGCCAAAGCGGAGTCGTGTCTCAGGGAATATAGACCTTTTTTCCCTCATTATTCTAAAGCTCCACCAGTCTTTTTGTGATTGGTTAGTTCTTGTCTGTCTCACTTAATTTGCTACTGAGTGGGGGATCTTCACATTCCTTATTTAACAGCTTTTTCTTTCCCCATTTGTTGCATCTTTAAATTTATGGCCCAGTCTTCTGGATGGGCATCCCTGCATTAGAGTTAAACAGCTGCCCTTCTAATGTGTCCATAAATTAAACCACTCTCCATTTCTCCAATCTCCGCCTCCCTTTACCACCTGAAGGAAACCAGGACTAGCATTAACAATGTTGTCCTTGGTCCTGGGATGTTTGTTTTTCCTAGTGGAATGGGTTACTTTCCCTTGGTTGTCCTTATCTCTGAAGCCTCCCTAAATTCTTCAGAGGTCCCCTCCTGCACTGTCCCTAAAACTGCCTAATTTCTAGCTTGCCCTGTGTCTCATTAGAGTGAAACTAATAGTATGTTAAGGTGTCTGCAAGCGCCGTGAGTGAATGGGGCTGCATCCACATCCTGAATGTTAAAGATGATAAAAACAGATGGTGCCTGAGCCTGAACCTGATAAGAATGCATAAAAGGAGTGGATTCATGAAGCATTCTCCGAGCAGTCCCAAACGTGGCTCTGAGCTAAGGACTTTCCAGAAGCTCCTCTTCCGAGTCCAGCTTGCTGCTCCTCTTTGGACTCAAACTGTTCTCCAGCCAGAACCTCTCCTCACTCCTCAGTTTGGCACACCATGAACCAAGCCTCACTCCCCAGTTCTTCCTCCCACAAACTGGTGGCCTGCTCTCTGACAGCAGCACATGCTGCAGACCGGCTCAACATCCTGGGAACCATCCAGACTTCAGGCTTTCAAGCCTAGAGACTTCCACGGCCGGAGGACTTTCCCCTGGGTGGAAGGCCCAGCTAAGACACATTGTGGCTACTGTCTTCAGTCAGAGCTACTCTGGGAACTTCGGGTTGCCTTGCCTATGTGAATGTATGTGTATGTGATCAATACAGTAATAAAATTCTCTTTGAGAGCCAACTTCTGACTAAAGCCAATTAATCCCACTCGCGATAAGTCTCAGCACTATCAAGCTACTGGCAGCCACTGTGGTACAGTTTCCATCCCCAGCCTGGGAGCTGGCCCACATGGTGCAGCAGACCTCTCCTGTCTCGCCTGCTGCTCCCCTCAGAAGAGTATCACTGCATCTCTGGCCTACAACCCCAGTCTTGTATGCATAAATAAATAAAAATTTTACAAAATAAATACAAGAGGCCTGAAAGTTGTGCATAACTATGGGAAGAAAAAGACAGAATTTTGAATGGAGCAATGACGTTCCATAAAACAAAATTTGAAATAACTGATAAAACTTTCCTGTGATTATTTCATTGCCTTTGCAAAAAGAAATATAGAACATAATAGAATGAAAATCCTGTATTCCAAGTCAACTTGTCACAGATTGATATAAATCGAGTGTCCTGCCTAACAGAACACTTTTATTTTCTCATCTCATCCTACAAGTGAAAACATGGTTATTTCAGCAGAGGTTCCATCATTGACAGGAAAGCTGGCAGTATCAAGATTTATATTGATTCACTTGTGGTAGTTCAACAGTGGTTTTGATAGCAGAATTGTCAGGCCTAGTCTCCAAGCCAGGAACAGATCCCAGGCTGCAGGGGCAGCACTGAGTCCCAGCCACTAGACCCCCACGGGTTGGTGTCTCACGAAGCCTCAGCAGGAACTTCGCAGACTCTCAGGCAAGCAAGCGAGAAGGGGCAGATTTGTTTAGAGAAAGAAAAAGTTTATTGAGGAGAAAAGGAACAGAAATAAAGTGGGACTCCCAGGACATGAAACCAGGCCAGGGAGGGGCAAGGAAGCCACAGTGGAGTCGTGTCTCAGGGAATATATACCTTTTTCCCCTCATTATTCTAAAGCTCCACCAGTCTCTTTGTAATTGGTAAGTTCTCGGCTGTTTCACTTAACTTGCTACTTAGAGGGGGATCTTCACATTCCTTATCTAACAGGTTTGTCTTTCCCCATTTGTTGCATCTTTATCTTTATGGCCCACTCCTCTGGATGGGCATCCCTGCATTGAAGTTAAACAGCTGCCCTTCTAATTTGTCCATAAATTAAACCACTCTCCATTTCCCCAATCTCTACCTCCCTTTATCACCTGAAGTAAACCAAGGCCAGCATTAACAATGTTGTCCTTGGTCCTGGGATGTTTGTTTTTCCAGGTGGAATTGGTTACACTCCTCTTGCTGCCCTTATCTCTGAAGCCTTCCTCAACTCTCGGAGGTCCCCTCCTGCAGTGTCCCTAAAACTGCCTAATTACCCTAACTTGCCCTGTGTCTCAGTTTTATTTCTGGGTAAACTTGTAAACCATACAAGTGTTACAGGACAGCCCAAACCCTGCAAACCTGCCTATTCTATATAGGGTTCTGCCATCCGCCGCATTAACACAAAACATGAGACTTCAACGGGAAGGAACTTTAATACAATTAGGAAACCGTAGAGGAAAGCCAAAGAATCTGGTTTCTAAATAAAGCACCTGAAGTTACCCGTCCCCTCATGGGTAAAACTCCATCCAAATGGGATTGTCCCAGAGCAAGGCCCCAAAGCCTGCCACAAGTCTAAAGCATCTTCCCGGGGGGACCCACAGAAAAGGGTCAGAAACAACCAGACAAGCCCCGAAGGAAAAGAGCAAAATCAAAATCAAGATAAAAGCTGTCATTGTCACCTCCCTAGAGGTCTCACCCACATCTGTGTCACCCCGTCCACGACCAAAAGACAAGCACAGTTTCTTCACGTGTCTCTAGGCTCCAAGTGCCTCCTCCAGGTCTCCTTCTGGCTCCATTCTGCTTCCTTCCTCAGTCTTCTCTGCAGCTTCTTCTCTCCCTATTTTGGTGGGAGCACTATGGGGACCACCCCTGAGGGGAGACACCAATAACTAAAAAAATGAACAATGATGCATGAAAAGAAAAAAAAAAAAAGATGAGCTTGGGGAAAGGGAAGACCCTAAGACAATATAAATTAATAAATGTTCCTAAAGGGGGTCTCACCTGAACAATGCTGCAGGCACTGCCGAGGCATCCTCTCCTCACCAATTGTTCTAGATCTCCAGGAATTTTCTCTGGTAAGTGCAGTAATTAAGCCTGCTGCCTGGGAATCATTAGAAAAAGGCTAATTTAAAAAAAGATTTATTTATTTATACAAGAACCGGGGTTCAGGCCAGATGCGCCAACCAGAGCCCTAGCGCCTTCCCTCCCTGGGCCTCACCTGTCTGCTCCCCGCCACCGGCTCCCCAGGTAATGGGGCAGTGGCGCCCCTACGGGGTTCCTGAAGGACCAGGCTTACCCCAGCCGAACCTCACCCCGAGTCAGGGGCCAGCAGGGCCTGAATGAGCATGCACGTTCAGTAGCAGCGCAGGTGCAGACAGGTGTGCTGGGAGGGGCTGGGCGCGCAGGAACTCCCTGAGGCAACGGCCCTGGATGCAGGCCCTGGAGGGGCGGGTCCCAAATAAACACTGAGATGCAGACAAATGCCTCCTCCTCGCTCAAAATACTGTGACCCTACATTATCCGCTAGTCATTAAAAGGGCAAACAAAGTGGCTTGAATTTCTGGGAAAGATTATTTTTATAAACCATTCTTAAAAATCCTCTTACCTGAAGCTGACATAAAGGCATGACTAGGGACCACCCTACATTATCCGCTAGTCATTAAAAGGGCAAACAAAGTGGCTTGAATTTCTGGGAAAGATTATTTTTTTAAACAATTCTTAAAAATCCCCTTACCTGAAGCTGAGATAAAGGCATGACTAGGGACCACCCTGGTGGGGAAGGGGTTAAGCACCACCCTGTGAAGCCATCCCCAGCCTCTGGAGCCCCAGTTCCATCCCCAGCAAGGAAGGTGACCCACGGGGAGCCACAGACCTCTCCTGTCTTCCCGCTGCTCCCCTCAGCAGTGGATTTCAGTCAGTCCACCGGTTCTGTTCCCTGCGCTGTCTCTGGTGAATTCCCTTACCCCACCCCCACATCTCTGCCCTGCACCCGAGCTCTTGTATTCATAAGTAAATAAATCTGCAAAAAAATAAAATAAAATGAAGCATAACAGTTCTCCCGACTTACACATCACGAAATATGGCTGGGAACGCCCTGGCCGAGGACCGATGTACTGACAAGGGACCCCAGAAGCTGATCAGTGGAATGCCTTGTCGATAAGATTAGAACAATGGCTGGGGATTAGGGTGTGTCATGAAGTAGATAAGGAGGGCAGACTCACAATCTCTAATCTTCTACACCCACCCTTCCCCTTTCTATCATCTCCATGCCCTTAATCTCCTTTTGCTCTTCCCCCTCACAACCAATACCGTGGGCCAATAAAAGGGCCAGGATCTTGCTCTTCAGCAATATCCTGCATTATGAAGCCTGCTCCACGACTCCCATTTCTTTATCAGTGTGATGTTGCCTGGTGCAACAAATGGCTCCCAAACAGGGACCCCACACCCTGCTTCTCAAGCCTGGAGACGGGAATTGGACATCCTCTCAAGCCTGGCCAAAAGCCTACACAGACCCAGAGTCTGCAATGAAGCGGTAAGAAGGTGTTTTCAGTCATGTCTTTCCTATCTTTTTCTTCCAAATCAGCCTGGTAAAAGGCCCACAGATTCTGAGTCTGTGATGTGACTTTCTTCCAAATCAGCCAGGTAAAAGGCCCACAGAGCCAGACTCTGTGATGATAATCAGCCTGGTGAAAGGCCCACAGACACCGAGTCTGTGATGTTAACTTTCTTCAGTGAGTTTTTCAGTTAAATCTTTACTCTCTCTCTTGGAAACATGAGTGATAATCTCACACACCTTCAGATCAAAGATCTTAACCTCTCTTCTCCTGTTTTCCCCATGCATGGTCCATAAAAATTGTTCCATTATCTTAAAAATGTTTGGTCTCAATAAAATAAAGCAAAAACAATATAAATCCAAAGGATTATTTCTTAAAAATACAAACTCTAAAGTATTTTAGCATCTCAAATTTAGTAACAACTGCCTGTCTTTAAAATTTTGGTGACCTTGGGCCCCCAGTCTTAAGTAATGGTTAAAATTAAACACTTTATCTATATAAGGATTTTAACTTCTATCTCATTAAAAAATCATGACATATGGGGCCTCCCTGGTAATATAGGGGTTGAAGTCTCAACACTGTTGAGCTATCTCAGAACAGTACATTAAGGGTTAGATCCTGGCTGGGGAGTTGGCCCACAATACACAGCCAGCCTCTCCTGCCTCAGCCGGCTTCTCCCCTCAACAGCGTGTTTCGGTAGATCATCTGTTCTCACCACTCTCAGGTTGGTCTTTTCACCCCCACACATCTGGCTTACACCCTAGTTCTTATGTATATAAATAGATAAAAAACCTTTAAAAATAAATAATTTGACTTCTTAAAATTAACACATGGCCAAAATTTTAAATAAAAATCAAGAGATTTCTGTTTATCCTTGTCTTCTACCTCCGGAGGATGAACTATAAACGGCACCTATACAAACTCCCCAATTTTGATCATGATCTAAATTTGGTAAACTAGTGTAAATTCAATGGTTTAATTTAAAAGATACATGTCTTTAGGTTTTAAGATCGGGTGTTAATATTTAATGTTTAAATGTGTTTTCTTAAAAGGTAAAAATTGTGTTGTTCAACAAACACCGGTAATTAACTAAATTTCCTTTACAGAAAGACGAACCCACTCTTAAAAATCTTTGTTAGTATAAATAAGTATGTTATGTTAGTATAAGTAAGTTTGTTAATCCTGTAAAAAGCTTTTTCTGAAACAATAAGCTCTTCATCCTGTGGGTAATAATCCTACCTCCCCTCAAAACAATTATAAAGAACAACATAGTGCTCCCTTTACATGAGGGTGTTAAAAAACATTTACTGGACTCTTCTGAGTCTGACCCTGATCATAAGGCCTCTTCAGAGGGTAGTGGTGGGGAATTTTTTAATCAAGTAGAGGATGCTACAGCACCCTCCACCTGAACTCTCTAATAAGCTTCAAGAAATTCTTAGAGCATTTCAGTCTTTTGCCACTCATTCTAATCTGCCAATGTCTCAAGATTCTTGACAGCAAAACTTAGTTAAAAAAATGCTTAAAGAAGGGCCTCCCTGGTGGTGCAGGCGGTTGAGTGCCGCAATGTGAGTCTGTCCACAGCCTCTGTATTGTTGCTTTGATCCCGACTGGCGGGTGAGGATATACACTGCTGCTCCACTCAGCAGTGTATATTGTCAGTCTGCCTGTTCTGTTCCCTGCTCTGTCTCTGGTGAATCCTCGCACCATCCTGCACATCAGGCCTATACCCTGGTTCTTCCATAAATAAATATTTAAAAAATGTTTAAAGAATTCTGTAAACGAGAGGGACCTTTTGCATTTCCTGTTAGTACAAAAAGGAGTTGTGTAACCCATGATAATATCCCCTTTCCTATTTTTTTTAATTTAAATTGTATTTTTATATTCCCCATACAATTGCAACCCCCCTTATTTTGACCCCAATCCCTCCTTTCCCTGCCCCCCATCCCCCCAGACTGTCTTTGGTTCATAGTTGTTTGCTGATTTAAATATTTTCTTTCTTATATTTTTTTCCTGGTCCCTTATTTAAGTTTTCTACATTCCTGCTATGAGTTTTTCTTTTTCTTTCTGGCTTATTTCACGGAGCATGATCCCTTCCAGCTCCATCCATGTTGCTGCAAATTGCATGTGTTTATCTTTTTTTGAATGCTGAGTAATATTCCATGGTGTATATGTACCACATCTTCTTGATCCAGTCTTCTATTTTTGGGCATTTGGGTTGTTTCCAAAGCTTAGCTATTGTAAATAGTGCTGCTATAAACATAGGGGTGCAGGTGCTCTTTGGAATTGATGTTTCTGTGCCCTTTGGGTAAATACCTAGGAGTGGAATTGCTGGATCATATGGATGCTCTATGTTTAGTAGGTCCAGAAATCTCCACACAGCTCTCCATGGTGGTTGGACCAGTTTGCACTCCCACCAACACTGCAGGAGAGTTCCTTTTTCTCCGCATCCTCACCAACATTTGTTGTTGCTAGTTTTCTTAATATATTTGCCATTCTCACTGGTGTAAGATGGTATCTCATGGTAGTTTTGATTTGCATTTCCCTGATTACAAGTGATGTTGAACATTTTTTCATATGCCTGTTGGTCATTTGCATTTCCTCTTCAGAGAAGTTTCTTTTCAGCTCTTCTGCCCATTTTTGAGTGGATTATTTTCTTTGTTGTTGTTGAGTCTCATCAGATCTTTGTAGATTTTTGTGATCAGTCCTTTATCATTAGTGTTGTGTGCAAAAATGTTCTCCCATTCGGTGGGGTTTCTCTTTGTTTCTGTTACTGTCTTTTGTGCTGTGCAGAAGCTCTTTAATTTGATGTAGTCCCAGCTGTTTATCTGTGCCTTCACTATCACTGCTTGGGGTGACATGTCTGTAAAGATGTCTTTGATGTACATATCATGTAGTGTTTTGCCTATATTTTCTTCTATGTATTTTATGGTTTCAGGTCTTATGTGTAGTTCTTTAATCCATTTTGAGTTGATTTTTGTGTATGGTGTGAGGTAGTGGTCAAGCTTCATTCTTTTGCATGTAGCGTCCCAGTTTTCCCAGCACCCTTTAGTGAACAAACTGTCTTTGCTCCAATGCATAGTCTTTGCTCCTTTGTCAAAGATTAGTTGACCATAAATCTGTGGGTTTATTTCTGGATTTTCTATTCGATTCCATTGGTCTGTGTGTCTGTTCTTGTTACAATACCATGCAGTTTTGATGATTATGGTTGTGTAGTATAGTTTGAAGTCTGGGAGTGTGATGCCTCCATTCCCTTCTTTTTATTTCAGTTGAGATTTGGCTATTTGGGTTTTTTGTTGATTCCATATGAATTTCATCAATAATTGTTCTATTTCTTTGATGAATGACATTGAAATTTTTATTGGAATAGCATTGAATCTGTATATTGCTTTGGTAGGATGGCCATTTTAATAATGTTTATTTTTCCAATCCATCAGCAGGGGATATCTTTCCATTTCTTTGTGTTTTCTTATATTTCTTTTAACAGTGTTTTATAGTTTTCTTTGTATAGGTCCTTTACCAACTTTGAGGTTATTTTTATCTTTTGTAG